TTCAACTTAAGTCTTTCTAAATTGCAATAAAATCCCAACTTTCATTTCTGCTTTCTTGCAAACTTTCAGATTTGACCCAAGTCTTGCCACTTGATAAACAGTCTGGATTCAGATCTACCTTGAAACAAAACACAGCTGCATTCTAGACATCTCTCACGTTAATTACAGGAATCTAACCTTCTGTGAGAAACGTATTTTCCACTCAAAGTAGAACATTAAGCCTCATTCAACATGGCGATGAAGTTTTTCATTTAGCTTCCCTCACATGCTTTCCTAGGGCCAGCACCACATAAAAAAATTTCTCGGTCTCACTTTCACTTACGGTCTGCACAATTCCACTCCTGCTAAGGGTATTTCTCTCCCCTTCCTGTGCTATTATTCACATTAGTTAGACTCCCTCCCACACAGAATATCCTTTCAATTCCAACCCTTGTCCTCTTCTAAATCTTCTATCCTCACTTTCCCTCTAGAATCCATCAGCATTGCTTAAAGTGAATTAAATATTCTCTCTGCCATTCAGCAGAGGAGCCTGAGGTTAAAATTTTAACTACCACCTTTGGCTTATGAAGTGTATCACATTCTCATATCATTCAGGTCCTCGAGGATAGTCAGTGACCATCTTGTGACTGAATTCTGTGATGCTCTATAACATCTAGCACAAAACATAATAAACAACAGAAACTACAGATCTTCTCAGGTCTAGGCAGTTTGTATATATTTGATAAGGCTAGTATGGAGAACTGTTGAAATAAAAACAAGGCATCTTAATCAATAAGGAAAAAATAGTTCAACTATCATTATGAGATGGAGAAATAAATACCAATTGCAAACTTTTCAACATGAGGTTGCTTCTGTAGAACCCCATAAAACCAGGGATATATAACAGAAAACTGCAATTTGGCAAGGTGTCTGTCTTTGCTTGACAGATGTAAGGTATTGTGCAATTCTAATATCCATCCTAAGTAAAATAAATCACTTGCCAAAGTCATGCTGAATCACATACAAACTATCCTCATGAGATCAACACTCGGCAATAACTCTACTTTGTAGTCAGTTACTTGTGTAATTTTCACTAGAAAGATAACTTCCATACTATTCAGAAGTTCCATTTAATGATCTTATCGAAATATATTTGTTCTATAAATCAACACAACATATTCACCACTGTGTCAGAAGGTCAGAGTTTTAGATTACTTCCTTATCAAAAAAGGATGTTTCTGATGGGTTTCAACAGGAATTATCTTCACAGGTATTTAAGATTTCTCAGTTATCAAGAATCAAATATAAGCGCATTGATGGTTTAATGAAAATAACGATGGTAGAGTGATAAACAATGAAGACAAGTCACATCTATAGGTGAATCCAACCCTTCTGTAAACCAGTCCCATTCAGACATCATTATACTTACAGGATGGAAGACTACATCCTGGAAGAGCAGCAGTTCTGAAAAGGACTTAGGAATCATGATGATAGTCATCTAAATTTACAATCTTTTAATGCAAATAACTGAGACTGAAAGATTTAAAAATGCAATCCTTGGAGGTATAAACAAACAAGCAAAGATATAAACTGAAAGGTTCAAGAATGTACCTGCACATACTACACGCACACAGCAATACTGAGATCACTACCAGATGCTGTATGCAGTTCTTACGTCCACACTTCAGAATGGATTTTAAAACATCTGAAGTTTTAGAAGAGCCATAAAAGCTTTACAGTTAGAGATTTAAGGAACTCCATCTATATAGGTTATTAAAGTTAACATATTTTTACGTGAATAAAGTGAAATAGTTTAAAACTAGAGTAGTTATTCGTTATTCTAATAGGCAGCTAGCTATCTGATGGCCAGCAGCTGTAACTAAACAGCCCTAAAACTGAAGGAGGACTAAGAGTATGGAAAATAAACTAGCTGAATCACTCAAGAGACACCGAAAAATCCTCACACTTGAAGAATCTATATGAAAATCAGCTATCTTTTTCAAAAGTTTGTTCTACTGCACCCAAGTGATATGGACTTCATGATGCAGAAATAACTAGATTGAATTCTAGGGATAATGGCATGCCAGTCAGATTATTTCATTACCATGGTCACTTCTGGCCTTAAAATCAGCTAGCCTGTAATAGGTAGAAAGCTGCAGTGCATATAAGAACATTCAAACTAACAGATGATAATATAAAGAACTCAAACTACAAGTACAGTCCATCAGAATCAAGCAGAGCTGTGTTCACACATCAATGATTAGTATACCTTGCTGTTTCAATTAAAAACTCAAAATTATCTGTTATGCCTCCAACTTTTACTTTCATATTTTTAAGTCTGTTTCAATGTATCTGATATTTACATATTATAGTATAATTATACCTACCATACCATGGCTTGGAGTAGGTTAATTGCATAGGAAGATTTACTATGTTTACATTTTTTCTTAAATTACTCTTTTTTTTTAAAAAGCACAGTAAAGAGTCTGAGGACAAATTATTCAACTGTTTATCATACATAAGACTGCATGACTATAATACAAAGGGCTTGTCTTTTCATTTAACGTTACAATATACACAGCAAGTCCGGACTAGATCTTACAATCTGAACACAGGTATTTAACCTTTTCCATGCTGTTTATGTTTACAATGCACAGAAGTCCTGTAACCAAACTGTGTAGTAAAGCACACAAAACTGGACTGTAACATAACACAGTATGCAGAAGCACTGGATTTTATGATTTCTTCTTTACGTAGATTTTTTTTTAAACTGCTTTATTTTTTGGCGCTTGCTAAGGTGTGGCAACCTGCGCACACAAAAATTACCCAGATTTCATATTACCCTTATATTCCTAGACAGCAGTAAGTACTGGATTCCTTTTCATATTGGTAAACTCAGCATCCTGTTTCTAAGGTGACAGCCTTCCAAATCCTGTAAACTTCTCTGAATTACTGAGTTTAAAAATAAAACCAAAAAGAAAACAGAAAAAAAAAAAACCACTTTCATCCACAGGGTTGACGTGTCAATACAAAAGAAATATGGACCGCTTCATTAAAAAAATCATGATTTACAAAAAAATGGTAATCCCAAGTATTCATTCCCAATTACCTGGTAGTCAGCTGCTGCGTTGCCACTGTAAGTATAAAAAATTCCACCTTTTAGTCTGAAAAAATGACTTAGCCGCATGGAATTGACCAGTATGAACTCCGAATTTTCTGCTAAATTAACTTTTAAAAGGGCTTACTGGCAGAGGTAGATCACTGCTTCTGTAATATATAATGGGCAAACAATGTTAATCTGGGATGGGCAACCAATGAATTACCCTTATTCTTTCAAATGTTCTTCACGGAGCTTTTACTTTTCATACAAATAAATCTCTGAATGGGCCCGTAAATTTTGCAACTGCCAAGCTGACTGTGTTATATTAAGGCAGCATTACCCAAAAATTAGGCACCTGTTAAATACAGCCTGCTAACCTCAGGTCTCATGTGAGTGTTTTGCTTTACTCAGACTATTTTTGGACCTGTTCATGCAATCAAGGTCTTGCCTTCAAGTTTACAATTATGTTAATAAGGAATACAAGAGTCAACTGCTGGTTTCATAGCTTCTGGATCTAGTGTCCCTTTTACCTTCAGAAGCCTGAACACATTTATAATGTAACAGATGTTATAGTCTCGAAGTAGATGTCAATCTATTATGTTCAGTACACAGATTGCTGTAAATGTATTGGCTATGAATTCAACAACAGTTCCAGTTTTGTTTAAGCAATAGTACAGCCATAATTTTCAACTGACATTTAAAAATGGTCTAGTTACACCTTGTGTCAAAGTGCAGAACTGCTACATTATTGGTTACAGACATCTATGTGCTATAAAAACAGCTTTGGTACAATAAATTATCAAAAAAGAAAATAAATTTTTGTAAAATTCACAGCATAATTGTGAGGCAAAAAAGCAGTCACATAAAATTCTGCATTTTTAAAAATGTTCAGGATGAACAGAAGACGTCTTTGTGCAGAAGTAATGGTGGAGAAACCACGTGCCGAGAAAAAGCAAAAGAAAAAAGTAAAAAGCAGGAAGGGACACAGTTGTAGCTATTTCCATCAAACGCAAACCACTACTCCTGTGACCTTCAACCAATAAGGAAGTCAACTTTATGACACACGCAAAGTGACCTTGCAATACCTTACAATAAGTGGGTCACAAAAGTCTATTTTAAAAGAAAGGCCTCTTGAATTACCCATTCTCTGTGTTTTCAGCATTAAGGACTGTCTGCAAAAGCATGTCCAAAAGTGATTGCATCTGAAATGGTAGGCTCTTCTAACTTAAGAGTCCAAATCCATAAGGCCAAAGGTTATCCCAAAGACCACCACTTAGACCTCCCCAGGACTGGCCAGGACCGACCCGTTGATTGCTTCTCAGTGCACCTCAGTTATGAAACCAGTCATATTTCAATACTAACTGACTGTGGTCTCCAAAATATGAGACCCACAGAATCCCATTACAATTGCTGCTTTGATCCTCAGTAGATTCAGAAAAGGAGAGTTCTGATCACCGCCACTTAGCATGCTTAATGTGCCTTACAAACTCCATTACAACCGTCCCTTTTTACAGCTGAAGAATATATATTTGTGTAATCTGAAGGTCCCTCTTTCTTACAGTACTGCATTTCTGTGCCCATGTTTGTTTGGGGAACTAAAAAAAATATATATATATTACTCACTCCCCTCCCACCAAAAAACTTCAAAGGGCCTTTTTATAAATCATGTGCAATGCCTTTAAAAAGAAACTAGTTTGCAACTACAACTAACATTTGAACAATAACCCCTGTTGAATGAGACCAAAAAAACCCACCCTCCCCCAAAACCAAACTATGGCTAGGTTGTGGCAAGTTAAAATGGGGGAAGCAAAAGGTGAACACCACTAAGCTATCCGTTAAGGTGGGTCCAGACATGGCTCTTTAAAAAAAAAACAAAACAAAAAACAACCCAAAAAACCCAACCAAAAAAAAAACCAAAAAAAACCAAACCAAAAAACCAACAAAAAAAACTTCATTGTCCCTTTGCAATCTTTTCAAGTTTAAAAAAATAGTCAGCTTTGCCCTCCTGTAGCGGTTCAGTGAGTTTATCTCCTTCTGATTCAAGCAGCTTTGCACTTTGTTTTTGGAAAAACACCACTTCTATAAAAACACACAAGAAACAAACTTAGTTTCAGTTTAGTCACGAGCTAGCCACAGGACTTTGCTGAACACAAACTCCTGTCATGGGAGACTCTTCTCTATCAATTCCTTGCCTCATTGCAAGGTGTCCTTCAGTCATGTAATGAGCAGGACCTGTATTAGCAGAAAACTGGTATGTTGGATGTCCAGCTATGCCAGTTTCTTGGCGCGGATTAGAGTAGACTGTTAAATTCATGTCCATAGCTCCATTTTGTCCAAAGTCCAAGGTATTAGCAGCCACTGGGCGGTTCTGATAGGCCTGATTGCCTTGGTTACCAGTAGAGGAGGAAGATGTAGAGGAAGAAGTAGTTGAGGAAGACAGGGATGTCATGGAGTGGTGACTGTGGCCCACCTCCATAGAATCCTGGGTGGAGGAGCTGTTTGTTGGAGAATTGTAGACTCTCGGCCTGGTCCGGCTACCCAAGGCTTGCTGTCCATGATGGTGGTGGTGGTGATGGTGGTGGTGGTGGTGGTGAGAGCTATTTCCGTGATGATGATGTAATGCATTCTGTTGTTGAGGGGTTACATGGAAGGTGGTTTCTTGAACTGGATGGTTTTCAACAGTGACCTGTGTAGGAGCTTCAGTGGCTGTCCAACCAATTGGAGGAGGAAACTGTTGTCGAACCTATGTTAATAAGCAAAATAAAAATTAAAATGCTTACTCAAAGCTATCCATTTGCAATATATGAGAGAGATTAAGTTATTAATGTTTATGCTAAATTTTAAAAGAGTTAACCAAACCTTGCAATTGCAAAATTAATCTAGAAATGTAAGCATGTAGTTAAGCAGAGTTTCTAATACCCTTTTCTAAATATACCTTAAGAAAAATGAGTTCACATTCTGCATGCTTTTTTCAAACAAACAGTTTAAGGAGGTCCAATATGTGACCTTACTGTCAAAATTATAGACGCAGCTTTACATAATAGTACTAATAAACAACATGCTATTTGTACAACACCTAGAACAATAAGGCCCTGATCTCTGACTCAGGCCTCTGAATACAATAAGCATACTAGGCTAAATTAATATGTTGTAGTTCACATCTTGAATGGTGTCAACAGCATTAGAGGAGTACTCCTCACACCTCTGAAGAACACAGCTGATTAAAGATTACTAAAATATCAAGATCTAGCTACACACCAATTTGTTGCATAAACTAAATTGTCTGTTTGGAAGAATTTATATTTTTATCTGTTCTGTACTAAAATAAAAATATTACTGAATTATTTGTAGTTAATAAATGAGTTGTTGCTTCTTTCCAAGAATTACTGAATAAACACCAATTCATCAAAGATAACGTTGGTCAAGTACCTGAACACCATAAAATAGAAGTAAGAACTCCAGCAGAGTCCACTGAAGTACAAGCTAGTTCTTCACTGGGTTGAAAGATGCATAGTTCTGTGTACGCTTACGCCCTGTGTAAGGTGAAGCATTGACACCTCCACCTGACTTACTGCTACTAATACAAAACCTTCACCTCTGCAGAATCTATGAACATTTTTACAGCTGCCTGCAGTATTTTTGCCTAAGTGACTGACCTAATGTCCAAAGGACTATACAAGAGCTGAGGGTAAAAAAAAAAACAAACAAATCTGATGGCTAGTTCCATGTCTAAATCACTTCAATCTAGACATGATAGAGTTAATTAGTTTTAGGGATTTAATATTCTCAGAAAATTCATATAAATCATACAGACAAAAGCCCTACTTAAGCATACCTGTGGGCTGTGTGTTTCACAGTCCATAGCTTGAACAGCAGCAGTGAAGTGTCCACCACTATGTCGATGCTGGTGTGTGGGGTCTGACCGTGCCCTTCCACTGTTGCTTGTTCCAGAAGATCCACCTATAAAATCATAACATGCACAATAAAGAGACACAAAATTTAAAGTCAGCTGTAAAAGAATGACAACATGAAGATATTTAAAATGCTTCAAGGTAAAAATACAAGACCTATGATAATCACTCACATTTTTGCTCATCTACTTTTTATTTTTTGTTGGGGCAGTTACCTGTTGCAGCTGATTAAAATAATTGTTTTGATGAGCATGAGTGACACAATTGCTTGAGAGAGAGAGAGAGAGAGAAAGAGAAAGAAAGACTGGGAAAGACTCCTTTGATGTGATTAGGAAATACAATGTTGTTATCTGTTAATGAGAAAAACTTACCTGAGCTTGAAGATGTACTAGAGGTGGTTCCTGAAGACTGTGACTGCTCCATGGCAGGACTCGTAGACACACTGTTACTTGTGTTTGTACCTTCGTCTGCTGTTTTCTTAAAGAAACTATGCTGTAGGGCATAATAAGGTTGAATTCGTGTCTTAGGGTCATAATCAAGCATCCTTAAGATGAGGTCTTTGAACTTCAAGTAGTCAGCTACAGTATGACCCGATTCCCCAGCACGACGTCCACCTGGTCCTCCTGTTTCAACTCCCAGTATATTGTGAAGTTTACGAGTTCCAGGTGGTTTGTATTCCTGTTGGGAAGTTAGAAACTGCTTGAAATCATGTTACATATTAAGCCTTGGATGTGCACAGTTTAAACATGCCATAAAAGGAAGTAAGTCAAATAAAAGTAAGAAACTATTCAGCACTACAAAAAGTGCTGTTTAATGAACCTGTCTTACAACATGGAACAATAATAAACAACACTAAAGCTACATTTTCAGTAACAGAGATGTAAAACAAAGTAACATCTCACTTTTTTTTTTTTTATTTAAAGAAACAGTCCATATTATCATCCTAGTTATGTAACCTACCCTTTTTCCATCTTTGGTCTTCTTCAAGTTCCAAGTGCCATCTGGCAACTTCTCAAAGAACTTTCTTGCTTTTGGTGCTTGGTCAAGGATGTGGGTAGGTGGTATCCCCAAAACTTCCACTATTTTATTCATTTGATCCACCTGTTCCAAACAAAGAATATTTGTGAAGAACATGTGGCAGACAGCTGAGCAGTGTGACAGATTCTAGTCACATGGGAAGCAAATGTTAACAACTCAGACTAGTTCTAAATTAATTGTGAGTTTAAGAAAAATCCAGTATGTACAAAACAGATTAGTAAATAAGGAGTAAGAGGGAAGACCCAGAAACAGAAGATTATTAACAGGCAATTTAGAGTTCTGACAAAAGTCATTGCTGTCATTGATGTTTATTCATTTTATAATTACTAGACCTCCCTAACTTATGCATTACAATTAAACAGATGAAAGTCATGATGAGAATGAACAACAACAATCAAACAAACAAAAAAAAATCAAATTACTTGTACCATAATATAGCTGCATACCTCATTTGCCCCACTAAAAAGAGGCTCTCCAGTGTGCATCTCAACTAAAATACACCCAAGGGACCACATATCAATTGCAAGATCATAAGGCATTCCCAGTAGCACCTCTGGTGATCGATAAAAACGACTCTGGATATATTGGTATATCTGAAATAAAAGCATCTAAAGGTAATACACAGCATCCAAAGAGCACTATTATGATTCGGTATTACAAAACAGAACTATCATGAAATACATTCTTGATATAGGGAAAGCCAAGGTATTGGTGGTACTAAAAAGTATCTATACATTACATTAATAAAAGTATGTAAATGTTAATTCTTAAGAAAATTCTAGCATTCACAGTCTCTCGGGGGAGAAAAAAAAAGTGCAGATTCACTTATGATGTCAGTATTTTACACTTTAGGGTTGATGAGAGTAATCTCATGCAATTACAGGTAATCATACAACAAAATTTTAGTCTGATATCACCCTAAGAAAAAATATTCCACAAGCCACATCAGAATCACATAACACTTCAGACAAAACCAATAGTAAAAGATCGAAAGCCACAATTACAATGTGATGAAATGAGATGAAATTATCAGGTGATTCCAGGAACTGGAAAACAACAGAAAGGAGAAAGCAACCTCCTTCCACCCCCAACTATCCTGCTCATTTCACAAGACAGATAATTCTGCCTTGATTCTAAACTGGAGACTGGCTTAAACATAGGCATATTAAAAAAACAAAACACCCCCCCCCCAATCCCCAAACCTCTAAAACCCTTAACAAAAAAAATATCTCAAACAGAACCATACTTCATATTCCAAGTAACATGCAATTTTATGCAGCACCTTCCACAAAGGTATTGATATTTCGTTACCACTTCTTAACTTAAATTTAATGAGTAATTACACTAGGTTTTTGTATTTGTGCTTCTTAACATCTCAAAATTATCTTATTATTGACTTAAACAATCTAGATCTCATTTCACCTCCTGGTGTCTTCCTTCATCCCAGGCTGAAAAGTTTCTAGTTTATAGCAAAAGGTCCTTTTATAAATCTAAATATATGTCTCACCACTGCTTTCAATACAATATTCAATATTCTGACCTGCTCTTTCCAAACTTATTATGGGAAAAAGCAACGGGATGCTACTGGCCAGTCCCAACTCCTCAACAGAGGATTGGGGGACTTCTGTTAAAGTTAGTCCATGAAGTTTCTTAATTCTTCCCATATAAGGGAATCTGCAGTATTACTAGGCACACTTCTGAAACCTCACCTCTTTTGCAAATGTTGCTTTTTTGGGGGAGGTTTTTTGGTTGGGTTTTTTTGTTGTTTTTTTTTTTAACATCCAGCTTTCTCAAAGCAAAAAGATTATCATTCACAAATTTATAGGTAAAATTGCCAAAGGTACACAATGGACCTGGGAAGGCTCAAAATCCTTTTTTCAAAGAAACTATGTCCAGCTTCTATCTATAGAAGTCTTCCTTACCTCTCTAGCTAACAATTTTTTTTTTCAGTACAAACAACTAAAGCACAGGCATCCTGAATATAAGCGGTTGATTGTTCAGCCAAATATAATTCTTTCAACCAGGAAAGAGTCTATTTGTACCAGGACTATAAGGTGCAAGCTGAACAGGACATCCTGATAAACTTCTTGGTGAGCAAATGGTCAGTACAAATCAAACACTTGAGGAATATGATTCAAAGCTCTTCCTAAAGAAAACAGAGGCTTTGGCATCCAGGCAGAATTATTTATGATCTTAATAGTTATTGTATCTATTCTAACATTTCTTAAAGCAAATATAGAGCTAATTGGCTATGCTGAACAGTCTATGGTCCACAGATTCTAACAGCTCAAATAAAAAAATGCACTCATCTTCAAAGTACATGAACAACAGGACACAATTACAAATTTTTTGACAACTATTTAATAGTACAGATCTATCCCAATCTGAAGAACTGCCAACAGAAAGCAATTCAGCCCTTTGTCCTGGAAACGCTTTGCATGTATGCATCTTTACTCGAAGTAATACCACCACTAAACTCAATTTAGTCTTTCCACGGTTGCTAAAGTGTTTGTAAAAATGTGTTAGTTATAACCAGTATCTTTAAAAGCCATCTACCGCACTGTCTCAACCCCCAAATATCCTATCTCCATGGCACATTAAATAGAGGACGTGCTAAAGTGGAAGGAGTCATACATATGGAATAAGAAAACAGTAAAAGAATATTTTATTTATTAGCACTGCAGACTTCTACAATCAAGTCTTGATGCATTCTGCATTAACATAGCATAAAAACATAACCAAGGAGAAAAGAAAGATGGAAAGTTTATCTACTATGGCACTAAAATTCGTATTTATAGCTCCTAAGGGCTGTTGATCTTTAACAACCTATGTAAAAAGTAGTTACTATTTCATGCAAGTCATCATTAATAAATTTTAAATTAGCTATCTAGGTATTATGACTTAAAATATTAAATTTTTCATATGTATCCAATGGAAGCATAAAGAGAATTTTCACTAATACTCACCCTTTGTCCAAGTTGACACGAACTGCCAAAATCAACAATCTTGATAGCGCTTCGTTTGGGGTTACAGAGCAGGATATTCTCAGGTTTTAGGTCACAGTGAATGATACTAAGTTCAGGAGTCGCCAGAAAAAGCAGTGCAGTGCACATTTGCTGTGCAAATTTTCGTGTCAGGTTCAATGAGACACCTCTGAAGTTGGTGTTCCGCAACAGATCATACAGATTGTAGGACAGCATTTCAAAGACTAAGCAGAGATGGTTTCGGAACATGAAGTGGCGCTTCAAATGCACTTTAAAAAGGGGAAGAAAATAATTAACATGTATCCTGTGTGGTAAGTATTAAATACTAATTACAACACAATGCTTAAATATTTTAATCAATTTGTAGGAAGCTGACCTGGGAGTAAGATAGTACAGTGGTGGTTGGTTTTTTTTTTCCTAGATCTATGGTTATTTATGGAATATTGCTGCCATGCCTAGGGTACAGGGAGACATTTTACACATCTGAAGTGTCCTCAAGTGTACCTCAGTAAAGGTATATTAACCAAAAAATTATTTAAAAGATAGAAGGGATATTTTTTCAAAATAAGCTATCAATCCCCTATTAGCAAAGGCAAACACATTTGCGGGTAAATAAAAATATCAGCAAAAAAGACAGGAAGTGCAAACTGCGTGTAACACAACCTTTGTCACAACACTTTTGATCTTTTTCAGGGGAGAGTTCATTTCTCCACCCTCCTAAAGCTAAAACTGTATTCAAGTCCAAGCAGATTGGAAAAAAGTGCACATACAGCGGCATTCTCAACAGCAAAGCAGATACCGCACTTTAGACTGAATTATTTATTAGGAATTCCCCTTACATTTACAGAGAAAATATTTGACTGTCAGATTCATTTAAAATATATGCAATTTATAAGCTATGAGTTCAATTGATTACTTCAGTTAATAAAACTGATCAATATCCTAAAGGCATTATATTCATTTCAATCAGGCATAATCTCAATTTATGAAAGCAACCAATCCAGGCCAAATCCAATCAATTTTTCTCATGAAATAGGTGAAAAATTCATCACATTAATCTGTTTTAGAGGCAAGCAGTGTTTACCAGTCTGTCAATCATTCAGGTTGGTTGCCACAAGTAAAACAAAACTGAAATAGGAAAAATACTTCAGCCCTCAGATAAAAAGCAACACGCTCTTTCTGTCATAATAAAATCTTGAACCAATATTAGCACAATGAGAATTCAGACTTTCAATTAAGGTCATTACTTGGTGTCCTATGGACTTTTTTCTTCTCCATTATCGTAAGCCAGTTCTTCCTGTGTCCCTTACAACTTACCTGTGATAATACCATTTGCTTCCACCCTGATGCCAGTTCCTGCAATACATCATTGTCTAGACCTTTTGTATTTTCTCATCTTTGCCATATTTCCACTATCCTCCCACCATGAACGCACCAGCACCTTTTCATGTCCTTGTGGTCTTCCAAAACTTATTCCAATTCCTCTCTACACCATATAAGCTTGCTGGACCTGCCAACTTGGCAGGAATCACCATCTACTCCAACTGATTTGTAACTTCCAGCATGCTGGTGGCCAGCTAGTACCACTTGCAACAGCCACACAGCTCAAATAGTTTGGATAAGAGCTGAACTTGTCACATCTTTCCTTCAGTGAAGACACGACATTTGAACATTTCTCCTCCACTCTGCAACCCGTTTTCACAAAACTTGAAGACTTTAATGCACTCTTACACTTGTGTTAGATCTGAAGGAGACCAATCAGAAGGTTTGAAGGTACTAGAGGAGATCTGACAGAAGTGTAAGCAGTTAAAATTTATGTCCTTAAAAATCAGGCTACAGTGTATTTAACCATATTCTTCCTGAAGTCTACATTTTACATCACACAGTATATTGTAATACTTGCAATGCTTTCAGCCTTATTCAGCTATTCTCAGCATCATGTATCTAAAAGCCCACGCAAGGGTGAATTGTCCACATGTCCTACAGACAACTTATTTTTTATGCTAATATGCTGAATGCTTCAATTAAGTCTTGTTGCAGAAGTATGTTCATAAGCAACTGATCCTATACTTATAAATATTTTCCAGTGAAGTGCCTAGAGATCTCAGTTTTCCATGATCAGTTTTTGCACAGCATGCAATAGAAGCTATTGATTCAAAACATCATCTCTTTGCGATTTTTGATCTTTACTGATGCTGTCATGTTCATTAAACACTGTGTTAAATAAAAGTGGAACTATTCAAATACACCCTAACAGATTTGGAAATCAGCTTGAAACAAGCCTAAAATCACCTGCCTAAGCAAAGACAGTATATATTATTTCTCCGCTGTTCAAAATTATCAGAACTTGCTTTTCCTTTTTTTGTTTCAGCACTGCTCTCTACATAAAGCCATCGTGCCTTAACTCACAGAGGGAGATTATATGATGTTTTGGTCCATTTCATTTTACCTGATGTTACAAACAGACGCTCTAAAAATTTTAAATTCCAAGAGCTTATCTGATGATGCCTATAACATCTTTATTTACTGTGTATTAATTTGAAACTGGTCATGTCTTTAATGTTCCTGAAACATCTTTTTGACATAGTATCCTGTCAAGTTTAGTTTTTGTTTTATGTAAATGTGTTACTAATAAATTTAAACTACCTTGAGAACTTTTGCATTCAATACATAAAATGTATTATAAAGACAATATTCTATACAACAAGTTAAAATGTAACTGAATACTCATCAGGTAAAAATTATCAATGTATATTAACATTATTTCAAAGTTTTCTTTCTAAACTACAGAGAGAAAAACTAGTAATCCAATATATACATGCAAATCAGGAAAGCATAACTGCTAGTATTTCAGCTTCTACGAACTAAAGGATGCTTAAAACCAGTTTCATTTTCCTTAATCACTCTTTTTCATACTTCTCCATCTCTCTTTACAACATGCTGTTGCTTTCCTTCCATCATCTTTTGCCCTCTACTCCAGAGGATAGACAACTTTTAATAAACTTTTTATACCAGCTGACTTAATTTCATTATTATGAAGTTCAAGTAGCATTACAATAATAAGTCAAGGGAACAGCATTCCCATCTACAGGATCCGTCAAAATTATAAGCTTTAAAATATTTCCTGAGCTATAAATGGGCAAGTCTTAACATTTACACAAGTCTTATCTCAGTTTTGTTATACAAAATTTTGAGCTTTTTAAACACACACGATCAAAAAAAGTTTAAGCTAGCCTTGAAAATCCTGTATGATGCTGGTTTACATTAAATATGCATGCTCTTATCCATGACAGTTCTGAGATAGTTTAAGATATATTCAAAGTAGTGAAAGAGATGCAAACTACCACAGATCACAGCTTCTGTGGAAAAGCTGGTCCATGGCAACTTCTTCAGCTGTCCATATCATTAACTGGAAAAAGCAAATTCTACAAAAGATCTCAATGCTATGAAGTAACAAATCTGTTATCCCAAATAATTTTATATATTCTTCTGGATCTGGTCCTGTTGCAAAGCAAACTGGGAAATTTGCATTAAATAATATTAATAACTTTAAAAGTTGTATTATTCTTTTCATCTCTTTAGCACCAGAAGCACCCTACGCTATATAGCAGGATCTAAAATATTCATAACATGATTAAATAAAAATGAAGAATAACTATTCAAATACCTATATAGTACTTCATCTCAGTGTCATGTTTGTTCATAAGCTCAAGCAGTCGCACTTCAATCTGGGCTTGGTTTAAGAAAGCCTTCTTGTTTTTTATTATTTTGATAGCCACCCACTCCTGTTCCACTCGATCATAAGCCTTTACAACCTGAAAGAGAAAAGTCAAATACATCAACAAAATCTCTCAAGTTTTCAAAATACAGCAAAACTCACTTTCTAAACTTTCTTCACTTTCTGAATTCAGAGAAAACATTTTTAGAACTTTTGTTTTTTCCAGTTAAAATTCTTTTCTTAAATTTCTTCTCTTACTTGATACTACAGTAAAGCCACAATCGATCACGATGTTTATTGCAGTGATGTCACAAAATACAACTGAGGCTCCACTGAGTTTCACTAAGGCAAGCATTATATCCAAATGCAATTATCAAATCATCAAAACCAACACTGTAAAACAACTGGCAAAATCCGAGAAAAACAACAAAACAACAAAAGAAAAGCTCCATCCTTCTTCCAGTCTTTTTCTCAAGCCTTGGCTACAGCTACAGTCAAAACAAATGTTACTAAGTAACATTTGTAATAGGTAAACCCTAGCACTAGACTACTGTTTTAATTTAAAAACCCAAGCCAAACAGCTAAAAATGTGAACTGATAGCAAGAGGCTGAGGATTTGCTCATTGCCAAATGCTTTACCAGATCTACATACTGAAATATATTCAAATGTTATCTGTAGTAACAAGAAAAGGCACAAAATACGAATGTCTTGAGTAGGCACTCAGTATAATAGGATTAAGAAAAAAGAGTTTAATTTCAAAATGAAACAAGAATACCACTTCAAATGAAATGCATATTATGATTCACATGAATTACAGGTTGCTCAGCTGATACACCTTACCTGTCCAAAGGATCCTTTGCCTATTAAAGAGTCAATTTCATAACGATCCATCCACTTCTCCCCATTTTTTACAATATAGTCATAGTTGTCATCATCATAGCCATCATTGTAAACTTTTCTCTCCTTTTTGTGACTGGAATCATCTCCTTGGCCCTGCTGATGCCGCCGTTTTTTTTTTGCATAGTAAACCTAAACATGAGAAGTATACTGCTTAAGAGCACTTCTTACATCATCAGTTCAATAAAGAACAGAATCAGCTTTTATAACCATCATACCTAATCCTGTGATTTTAAAATGCAACTTCTACTACTGGAAAAACAAACAATCCTCTCCTGTTATCACTCTATTTGAAGTCAAGTCATTATACCAAAGCAAAGTCTTGATGAATAATTTAAAAACTCAGAAAGCAGATCTAAAGAAATGGACTAACACTGATCCCTAGAGTTCATAGGTGCAAAAAGAAAAGATACATCAGAGTATGCTATACACACAGCAAAATTAAAAATGGTAAGTAGCCTGGAAATGAGAGTTATCAGTTGCTCTTTCCACAAGACTGGAAAAGAAGAATTCCAAGGAAGTCAGTAATCACTGCAGAAATCCCTTCACATTCCCTACAATTGCCAGAGAGTTAGAAACTAACTGATGCTTTCCTATATTAACCACATAATTTTTATATTTTACATTTGCCAATAAAATTTAATTAAATAATTTAGGGAAAACACTTTACTATTTTTCTTAGAAGTCCTTAGACACATTCATAAAGGTTTATAGCATGAGCTAAAAGAGTGTTTGTGCCACTCATATTTCCTTATCATGCAACAGAAAAGCTCAACATTTGTTTATAAAACAACAGAAAATAAATTCCAGGATAAAAATTTTCCTATGTGCTGGACAGAAAGCAGGACCATGACATCAATGATCTCAAATGAGATGTGAGCAACAGAGAGAAAGCTTGATTCTTCTTATCTCTTCACAAGATTATTCATAGAAAACATACTTAATCATGTACTGTAAACAAAAACTTCACATCAATACACGTTACAAAGATAACTGGTGCCTTTACCTCATTAATATGCTTGTATGTTTTGATCAAATCTACGGAGAGTTTCCTCAACGGAGCAGTGGCTGGATCACGGAAAGTTTGGGGCATCCGCCTCTGTAATATGACCACATCATAACTTAGAAAAAAAGCTAGGACTTTAATGATGTAATTATTACACCAGATCACGACATTCCTCACAGAAATGAGTTATTTCATTGCAACATTGTTTTCTTTAAGCTGACATTAAAAAAAAGAAAAACAAATATAGGAATAAAAAGAAATTAACAGTTTAGTTAAGTTACTTTTTAATACATTTAATTAATAACTTAAAAATATAATCCCAAGATTCCTCCCTCTCCTCTCATTATGCCTAACAGGCTTAATACCAATAAACAGTATTTCTCTCAGTTAAAAATACAGCTCCTTTGACAACAGAGATTCTTGCTGACATTACTCCTCTACCTCATGACTGATACATTAACTGTAACCGTATTTAATGTATAGCTGCATTAAAACCACAAATGGATGTTAACATTAATAACTACTGGAAAGCTGTGGCAGTTTGCCACATTTAAACTGTATTAAATTCCAAATAAAAACCCCTCAGGTCTACCATGCTTTGCAATATCCAGGCTTAAATCTAAACCTAAAACCTGAAGAAAACCTAAAGAAATCTAAAGCATGCACATGGACATCATACCTACTTCAAAAGTTTTAAAACAATGTCCCTGAAAAGGTAGTTATGTTCCTCATTTGTGTTTCCTAAAATTGACTACATTTAAAACAAGAACATCTCCAACAGCAGGCCATTTTTTTATTGCTTTCCTGAAGAAACAAGACTTATATGTGATAAAATTATGTGTGACTTTTTTTTTTTCTTTGCACACATACACCATGTAAATTCTGGATCTACCAGTCAACTTCTATTCCTCCTTAAGATTTGTTTGAAATCTCAGAAGGTAAAGTTCCTGGAAGGATAGAATTTCCAAGTGGCAAGCTGGAGATGAGCAGTATCCCCAGTAAAGAGAAGGCAGAAAAAACTTAAGTCACAAACCATTTCATTTGGCTAAAGCTGACTACCTGATCAGCAGACACTTACTTGAGAGTGCAACCGTGCCACCAGACAAGCTCTGGCAACTTCTCTGTCTCACCCAGTGACAGTGTCGGATGGGGAGCTAAAAGAGAGGCTAGTGAGGTTAGTGTGACTGGTCCCCTAGCCAACCTCTCTCTATTGCCTCTCTTCCCAATGACAGAAAACCACAGGACAAGTTTAATCGACTCCATTGAAGAAAAGCTTGCTTCACGTATGTTAAAGCTGCTTCTACTCCCTTACTCATTATTAAGAGGGTTAGGTGACCAAGCGCTGCCACACTCAGCCTTACAACTCTGATCTCCCATTATCTCATCTCATGCCATCAAATATGCTCACGCTCCTAACTCTCTTCACTTCCAAGTGCTTAATCTCATCTGCTGCCTCCTATTACAGCTAAACTGATAAGCAGCCTCCCGCAGTGCTGAGGGAAGAGCACAAGCCATCAACAAAAATAATGAAACTGATTTTTGTATCATTATTGTTGAACTAATAAATGAACTGGAAAAGCGTAACTGCTCCTCTATCTTTTATGATATTACTTAAAACTTTTAATGGTGGCTGTGCAAATACCTCTCTTTTTGCTCAATGACCAAATTAAAAAAAAAAAAAAATCACACTGAAGTGACCCAAAAAATTCTCAGAAACAGAAGTGATGATGAGAGTTTGTGCTTCTGAAATTGGACCTGAACTCAGGTACCCAAGCAACCATACTAGAAAGCTAAGCTCACGCTCTCCTCCAGTGGATGCACACACCGCAGGGGTAGGGGGGGAAGAGAGCACGAGCAGCAGTGAGAGAGCAAGACGGAGCATGAACAAACCAGAGAGTTAAAGAGAGGGGGGAAAGGCAAGACACTTCCAGTAAGCTTACTGCCTCTGCGTGAGGCTGGGATTCCCAACAGGTAAAAAACTCAGTGGAGCCGAAGGCTCCCAAGAAAAGGCAATTGAAAGCTTCAATGCACACCGCTCCAAATACGCCCACATAACATTTTTACATCCCTGCAAGACTGCTGACTTGTGGTCTTTTTTGATTATGGAATGTTTCTCAGAGATGATGCAATACAAATTTCCCTCAGGTAATTTAACCCAAGTCACTCCCTAGATGTTTGTTCCATTCAATTCACTTTTGGATATGCCCACTACCATCAATTTCCCTTAAGCAGGTTTACCAAATTAATTCCTTAATTCTTTTTTATTATAAGCACCAGCATTTTGTAAACATCAGGGAAGTCTGTTTTAAAGTTTCCTAAACAAACTATTTGACATTTACAAAACATTTTTGTTTCTTCCTTTCATCTGTCAAACAAATGTGAACCATCAAACAAATCACACCTAAATATGATCTCTTTCAGCTCTCTCCCATGGCACTGTTAAACAACTAAACTAGGCATCTAGTCCTAATCCAAACTGTCACTGTTACAGGCTTTTCAAATGCAAGTATTTCCTTTAAGTTCCTTAATTGGACTTAAAGAGATTATTGGAACATGGGAACACTGGTAGACTTTGCTGGTAAAAGAAACCATGCTGCAGTGCATGACTACTGGCAGGGACCAGTCTCTGTCCTAGGCTGACATGACCAGCACAGGGTCTGCATTACACAGGTTACGAGCTTTGAGGAAAGACTCTTAGTGTGGAAGAACTCCACAGTTCAGATCAACTCTTCAGATGTAAGGTTGCTCTAATTTGGGAATGGAATTTGTAGGACAAGCATTCATGCTTATTTTCTAATTTATAAATCAAATTTGCTTGCTTACTTAAAAAAAAAATCTTCTAATTTCAGCTCTGAAATAAACAGCCTGATAGGAAGAAAAAAAAATAATCTAATTTGTTGCTGTTCCCTAATCATAAATAATTAAATTCTGCAGGCTACACCTATGTTGCTTGCAGCCAGTACCTTATTTGAAAATTGTGCTTTTAATTGTGCATTTAGACAGTCACACATTTCTCAGGACACACTTTAACCTGTATGAACTTTTTAACAGGTACTATTTTGCTGTCCTGGGTTCATAAAGTTTTGGGTGGGAGAGGAGAAAGAATTGACCTTTTTTTCCTCCCCCTGTTATATTGCAAAATTTGTAACATTCTCTTCTTTTTCCAAGATCCTTTTGGAGACTCTTGCTCCCTTCTTCCTGATGATGGAAGACTATGGAACAAAGTGGTCATTATCCATTTTATACAGTAACACTCTCAAATTCTTTATCATTAGGGCAATACTGATTTCCCTCTTGGCTTGAAAGAATGCTCAACCACAAAAGAAACTAAAAAAAAAAAAAGGAAAGGAAAGAAAAAGAAAAATCCTATGGCACAAGCTTCAGTCTCTATCTGGTGGCCAGACAGCAACACTGCAACCTCGGATCTTCCTAAAGATAGAACACAAATCAAAAGATATGCTTGTATTTCAAGACCGAGAGACAAGAAACTACTTTCATTACAATTATATGTCAGTAAATGCCCATCACATTCTGACTGGTCCACACTTATACCTCAATGGAAACAGTACAGCTACCTGGGATGGTCCCATGATGAAAATCATCATTACAAGTAAGGAACTGAAATTTGATTTTCTTACCTATTAACCAAACACACATGACAATGCTGAGAAGCAACCTGTAACTAGTCTAAACAAAGAAGAATCAAATAAACACAAAAAAAGGCAACCAAGAGCCCCACTTACGCATACTCAACACATCTGAGACAAACCATGTTTTAAGGAAACTATGGTTTTCAACTCATGTATGTTAACTAGCATAATCTTTGAGGTTTAATGAATGAAGGAGCAGACAACATATTTCTCTCTCTTTGATAACTAAAAAATAGATCGCACTGTTCCTTGCTAAATGCATTTTATTTTGATTACAGGAAATTCTGAGCAGATACATATATTCTGTTAATGGAATGCTTTAATTCAGATTTTTTTAAAAAACAAAGATCCATGACCATCCACATTCACTAAAAAAGAAAAGAAAAAAAAAAAAAAGAGAGAGATTCTGCTTTCATATAGCACACTCCATTTTACGAACAAAATAAATAATGAAGATTTTACAAGGGTAACTTTTAGCAAGAACTCCAATTGTAATGACCTATTTAATAGACTGCCATTATTAAAGAAGTGAATGAACCAGTCTCATCTCCTACACCACTTGCTATTCAAAACCCTTCTCGCATCACAATAATATAGGATAGGAAGTCAATGCTAATCCCATATTGTGGTGGGCAGCCACATAATAGATGGTGTCTCCAGAGAGTCAACAAAACAGATGTTTAATTGCTATAATCACAAGCCACAGTAACACTTTCCCATAATATACAACAAACTTCAGACTTTTAGAAAAATGACCAAAGAGGAAAAAAGCGTATATGCCACATAACAAAACAAGAGAAATCCAAGACTATTCTTCAAACTGACTGTACTCAGGGCCAGAACTGAATGCAGGTAGGGACAGAATTCAGTCCAATTACTTTAATAATTGACTTGTGCTCTATGAGTATTTCCCTACTATTCGGGCTTCCTTCCTCAAATACATAAGGTTGCTGAATAAAAGTGATATTAAGAAACCGGTAAGTTTGAAGCTAAATAAGTAAGTAAAACCAGCAAGGAAAGAAGGGTCATCTGCCAAGATTTCATCCTGCCTGATTCAGCCCAACCATTTAGGAAAAAAAAAAAAAGCAGTAGAGAGCAGGAAGACTAAGTGAAAGGGAATGAAAAACCCCACTCTGAAATTCTTGTTGCTGGAGCATAAACACATGTTTCTAACAAACATCCAAGATAGTAAAAGCATTTCTCTCACTTTCCATCTGAAATGAATTGCATGCTCACACTCATGACAGAGTCTGGTGAAGTCTGACCATCGCTAATAATAATGTTGCTGATTAGGAAGCTGAATTAACTGAACTAAGGATTTGCTACTGCCTGCTAGAACACATTAACTTTGCAATGATCTAGATGTAATCAATAAAATCACTGGCCAACATCTGGTCAGTAAAACCTAGAATTTTGCAGGTGGTAAGTGATCTCAGATACATACAGAGAGAAAGATGTTTAGCGGTCAGCCTGACCTTTGAATTCCAGGTGCTTTGTGAAAGCTAAACTGTTGGAGTTTGTTACCAAGATCTGCCCAGGAATCTCAACTCAACTTCTTTATCAGTTAAATCAATTTTCTAATCTTTTGTACTTAACTGAAAAAAGTTTCAGGCAATCTCAGTATCCATAATGAAGATAAACATTAGCACAGCACAAAAGAAATGCTCGTTTGAAGTTGTGAAAACTTTTAAGCTCTTATCTTATATTCACATCAGGCTATGTTGAACTCTCAAGATGCAACCAGTTGAAACTGGACAAAGAAATATTACTGTTTGTTACTGCTAAAGGAGAAAGGTCTCACAGATCTCATCTTTTCTATTCACTCTAGGCCACACACTCTTACTGCTTTCCTGAAGCTGGCTCTGGCACTCATCAGAGAGGTAAGACCACACAGCCAAGAGCAGGACCCCATCCTGCCAGCAGGCCAGGCACTTGGTGAATCACAGGTTTAAAGTAAACCCTTACAATCCAGCAGTTTTCAGGAAACAAGAGCCTTTAAACTTAACTACTGAAGAAAAAAAATTAAAAAGGACAGAGCTGGAAGTTTTAACTGTAATTTAAAACCTCCTAAGTAAGTGAAAAACAAAGCAATCTGGCTGGTTTTGAAGTATCTTCCTATTATTTGTTCCTTGCCAATGATAAGATGAGTAGGTTTTGGTGACCATAGCCATAAAGCAGTAGGTGCAAGAGAAAATTATATAAATAATATTTTAAGGGTAACGTATAATATAAATACACATAACTTTAATATAAATTGTCATTACTGTTTCCTAACCTTTAATCTGCAACTGTGAATGATTCATAAAATACCAGAATATGGTCTGCAAGCCATTACAAATCAAAAAACAAGCAGGACAAAGCAGGAATAAAAACAATAAATTAACATTCAAGGCCTCGCTTCCCCATTATTTGGTTATGAATGAAAATCATTACAGGAACTTGAACAAGACAATACTCCTCCAAAAAAGGAGTCAGTCCTCGGTAAAAAGAAAGACACAAAAATAACCTGAAAAAACCCTAATAAGGCAGATCATCTTTGCTATTTATCAAAATGACATCGTTTACAGAAAATGCTGCTGTTCTACATGCTAAAACTTAACAGCTGCTCTTAGCAACTGACAAGCAGTACCCTTATGCATCTTGCTGCAGCCTGAAGAAATTTACTTTCTGAGAGGAACTATTTGCTGTCTATTATTTCCAAATAAAACTTCAGCATCCCAAAAGCTGACACTTCCTCCTGGGTTTTATTTTCAAGCAAGTCAATTTTGTCTGGATTTGGATGAAATACTCTGTTTACAAAGTTCAGCAAATGTAGCAATCAAGAAAGTAACTTTTTTAACGTTTGTACTCTCGATTCCTTCAGTGGAAGATTCACTCAAAGATATGCTAAGCTGCTCCGCAAGTTATTTAAGAGAAGCGAGCTTATTCAAACGACGGAGCATTTCGGAGAGGAGAGGGCAGACCTTCCTCGCAAGAGGCCATTCGCCATGCAGTAAGGCAGGCAATGCAGTGCGGCACTCTGGCCAGCAGATGGTGGCTGGAGCTCGGGAAAGAATTTTGCCGGGCGTCCGGCACAACCATCGCCGACCCTGGGAGAGTCCCGCTTCACCGACCCATCTGGCTACTGAGTCAACGAGGTAGCGGAGCACTCTCAGAAGCAGCGGGGCTGGCAAATCGCTATTAATCAACTGTTGGACGCCTGCACCCAGACGGGCTACTTTTAGGCTGCGGAAACCGGTAGCACCAAAGGTGACCCAATCGTCAGGCTGCTGATGGCTGCTGTGGCACTAGGAAATTCTGGGAAACTGAAGCTCAGAGACCTAACTTCTCACCTGTTTGACTGGATGTGAGACATTGGATTAAAAGGATCTACCCTTTAAGAATTACACCTCCTGTATCTGCCAAAAGTCACCTTTTTGTTCGTCCTATTTTTTATGGCTATATTAGATCAATCTATCAAACCTTCTACAACAGACATTCAGCCTATTCCTTTTGCTGCCCAAGTTAAAAACATGATCTTCTCAACCATATGTACTTGAAAACATAGAAGTATGTCACCTTACGTGACTGAAGAGAGTTTGCCATTACTGAAAGGTTAGTCTGGTGTCAGAAGCTTAACAACAGACAAGCACATAACAACAGAACTAGTGGTGGGATTCCAACAGAGGAATGAAACAACCACACAAGGACAGTTCAGAAAATGATCTCTCCCACGAGTTTTTCAGAATTGACATATACAGGACAGAACTGCTTTTAACAAGGACAGAGAGAAGTTGCAGCATATTCAAGGTGATACCTTGAATAAAAAGGATTCCTGTAGAAATGTCATAAAGAAAGAATCTCTAAGATGTATGCATCATTTAGACATGAAAACCTAGATCACATCTGGAGTGAAAGGCAAGATGGTAGTCCACAGCAATGGAGAAACATAAGACAGCACAAAGCCTTCAACAATAGAGGGTCATAGCTTTCATAAGAAGAAGAAAGAGTTGTTTTCATCAAGATAAACTAGAGCTGACAAAAGGGCTATTCAAAGAGAAAGAACAAGAACATTTTTTTGCACAGAAGCAAGGTCAAGAGCAGATGATGCGACTCACTAGCATAAAGAATACTAGCTGGATTTGGTTTTGCAGATTAACCAGAAATGCAGTGCAAAGGCAAAAAGCCATTGAGACTCCCCAACATGGGCTCATATAGAACCTCCATACCAACCTGGGACCTGGTGAGAACTCTTTATGGGACTTAATGGGAGAAGCACAAGAACTCGAAGGAGGAAAGAGTCACAAAAGGCAAGTAGTCAGAAGACTTCAAAAAGTTGCCCACCATCAAGGTCAAGGGTGCTGGAAGCAGCTCACAAAGGATAAAGGAGTAACAATTTTGAGCTGCTTAGGCAGAAGACTATAAAAACTTCAACAACACAATTACAGTAAAATAGGAAGACAGAAGCTACAATGCAGAAACAACAAGATGGAACTGGAAAAAGAAAAACATTGATTCTATAAAATAGTGTTAGTGGTGCAAAGACAGCTTGATTGCCATTATCAAGGTGGCCAGCTGATCGTTTCTTCATATGGGTAACTTCCAGGAGCCAACCACAGCTTTTTCCCTACATTTACATCTTCCTCTCAGTGGGCTGCGTTCTTTGGTCAACAATTCTTGGCTATTCTCCAAAAAGTATTCTTCAGCTTTCTATTATTCAGCTACCATTTTAAAGCCATTGTGACCACAAACAGCAACGAATGGCAATACATCCTAAAGTTCCTTGATTTTACTTTTTGGTTTAAAAACATGAAAAACTAAGCACTAATGTACACTAAAGCTCACAAATGTGATGCCAGATTGTAATGCTTAGATAAGTACCTTGAAAGGTTTAAGGAACACAGCAACGTTTCTTAATTGGCAGACTGATTCACTAACCTCATTGTGGAGGTTTTGGGGGACCTTTAACCTAAAAAAAGTCACATAAAATACCTGAGTAGATTTCTCAAGCTAAATACTATTATATATATGAGCAGATTTACTCTTCCTACTGAGTGGCTCTCATGGAAGTAAAAACATCCTTTGCCAGCTCCATTCACTTTGCCGTTCTTCATAGAGCCCTAGTCATTACAGATCTCCAAATCCTAGTATCAAACATCCTGGCACTTCAGTTTGATCATTCTCATCCTCCCTAATCCTTCCCTCTTTCTGCGAAAGTGCCTTCCTACAGAGCAATACCAACAGAGCATCTCTTGATGGTACTGTAGATTTTTCTACCAAAGCCATCTTGAACACAAGAACAGACCTGAATCTGGTAGCAGCAAAAGACTTCACTCTCCATCCTCTTTAAGTGGAACATGCTTCATCAGCCTGCACCAATTTTGAAGCTCTGACTTACAGACTTCTGGATTTTAAGCTTTGAAACCTATCTGTGTTCACGTCTCCACAGCTGGGCTGTGCCATTTTTAAGAAAGCAACAGAATTCCCTCTTAAACAGGGCAGTACTAGCTCTTGGGGCTAGCAACCTTGCACTATTAGTTAGGAAGCTACTTCAGCAGTTCTAGCAACTCAAAAGCAGTATGGAAGAAACACTGATCTTGAAAGCTCAAAAGCATCCATAATCATCATAATCCCTGTGTTCATTTCACCTCCTTGCAATAGTAAGTAGTAAATTAGCAGTAGCAAAACCCCAATGATAGCATAGCTTTAGATTTTGCTTTTCTTTTTTAAAAAAGTGTCTTCCTTAATAAAATGTGTCTGTTGTGCAAACCTCTCTATTCCAAATACACTAACCAGTGACTCTGCATTAAAACACTGTCCAAGAGAACAAGTAATAAAGCAATCGCATTCTAACATCAAACAGCCCTAAAAAAAAAAGCTACTATTAAACTCTCTTTCCAACTCTCCACTTGGACAATCTTTCTCCCCTCTCACTGCAAAAATGTTAGAAGTAGAATAATCACAATAAATATGTACCAGATGTTTAAAAACAACTTCCAGAAACTTACTCGTCCACCCATCCTTGAACAGTCAGGAGTTAATTAGTTCAAAAAAACCCCCCAAAAACCCACAGAAAAACCCAAATCAAAACAAACAAACAAAAACCCCAACAAACCACAAAAGCATATGCCCTGATCCTGTAATTTATGGGTGTATAATATACTTAGAGAAAGAATTATTGTATCTAAAATGACTTTTTTGTTATCACTTACCTGGTTTGTTAATGTTAAAGGTTGCTGAATCTGGTCAGCATATGATAAGGCAGAAACCTGTTGGTCATTTATGTTCTGCTGCCGACGATCACTGTACTGCTGATGCGAATGGGACATCTGTCCAGCCATCTGAAGGCCAGCAGCATGGAATGAAAACGATGGTGCAAGCCGAACAGATGAAGGTTTGCATGCTGAAGTCTCTCCTCCTGCAAAGACAACAGGAGTTTTTAAGGCAGTTAATGGCTTGAAAATATTCACCTCAGCCTCCATCTCCTTACAGAGCTTATAAACACTAATAGTTTCACCGTTTTAACATACACAAGAGTTTTCATACACAATGAAACCAGAAATCATCCTCACGTAAAGATTACCTAGCTGAACTGCTTCTTCCCATTTCATTGTGACAAATTATTCATTAATTGTTTATTCCTATTTACACTTAACATTCCTTTTCTAACATCTTCACCTATTTGTCATAACTCAATCTGAATTTGACAGGGTTTATTTTCAAAGATATGAATTTTGTGTACGGATTCCATGAAAGCCAGAAAAACACACAATTTCCGCCCTTCAAGGTTCCTCACAGCAACTTTCTGGACAGACTGTACCAAAACAAAAGAAAAGCTAGTGCCCAGCCTCAGCAGCTCATCTTCCCTGGCCTCAATGTTTATGCCTTCCTACAAACTGCTTAGCTCACTAGCCTACATTTTTAACTTCCACCCTTCTTCCAAAGCACAATGTACTTCAACTCAGCTTCCTGACTCCTACAGCTGAGTTTCATCAAGCTGTAGGTAGCAAGCACTGTAACCTGAATTAGTTCCTTTTTGGGAAGGTGAAATCAGACTGCAAGAAGCAACTGCAAAGCAACCGCAAAGCAAGAGACAAACAGAACACTTGGTGTCAAGTTGCAGGAGAATGGCAAACAGTATGGCCAAAGTACTAGACTCCGTAACATCCTGAAAAATGCCAAATTCCACAAATTCCCTCTAACTGGGACAGATCCTCTACCTCTCAACTCTTGTTTCAGACAAATGTCAGATGGTATTTAATTGGTGCATAGTCCACTTGTACCTTCACTGTGCTCTAACAGTGGAGGACAGATTAAAGTACCATTTGGTTTTCTTTGTTTGCTAATGAAAGTTTAGCATGTTCCACATTTAACACCCATCCTTTTGCATTTTGCTGACTATGCCAGAGGGGGGAAATTCTCTAAATGGTTGCCATATTGGCACAACATAAGAGACAGAGCAGGATGGCACAAGTAGCCAGGCACACTGAAGCCAACATTGCCACAGAAGGAGTAAGTGTGGAATCGGAAGCTGAAATCTGGAAGCAAAATCATTGGTAAAGATTAAATTTAGAAGCAAGATGTGAAATAATTAAGCACCCAACCCAGTAAGGGAAATCTCCATTTCCTTTACAATAAAAACCTTGCAAGAAAATCTAATCAGTAGAAAACAGTAGATGAACACCACCCATCAATTTAACTTTCTTAAGAATAACTGTCTGCTCAATTTGCCATCTATTCTAAGTTAAGAAAAAATAAAATATTGAAAATGATACTGCATCACTGATTCAGCACCTAGCAGAGCAGTAGAAGAGCCGCACAGGATGAAATTCAACACCATTTTACATTAAGATCATTTTAGAAAAACAATTTTAAAAGTCAAAATAATTCAAACTATTCAAACTGTAAGAAAGCCTATATATAGTATAATCACTAGTACTTTAAAAGGGGTGAAGTAAAATTGTACAGTGAAATACTCACTGACAGATCACTGGTATTTTTCTCCAGTGTTAACAATTCAGTACTACTAAAAGACTAACAGAATAAACTGCTCCAGAAAATGAACTGGTTGTCCACAAGCACCCACATATTTTCACTATGTTTCATTAGATCTTCAAACATTTTACTTAAAAAAAAAAAAAAACAACAAAAACAAACAAAAAAAAACACACAAAAAAAACCCCAAACAAAACCAAACAAACAAAAACCCAAAACACTCAAACCTTCATGAAATAACTAATATCCTTTTTTCGTGTGCATTCTGGTGCCTCTAGTAACGTGATAAAGTATCAGGATGACCTTACAAATGGAAATAAAATAAAGAAATTCCTGACCTAAAATCATTATAAGCTAAGTCAACTTAACATTGCACAGAAAATTACTCTAACTCTTCTGTAAAATGTCCATTAAAAACTGCTTTGTGATTGTTAACACAAATACAGTGTAAGCTAGTAAGCTCTGAAATTGTCCTCCAGCATTTAAAGATACAGTGAAAATTTGTGCTAAATATCCGAGTGTAAACATTTTAAAATACTTGCATCTTTTTCTGTTTTCAAGTAACATCTCATGTTCACCTATGAATTGGGCAACAGATGGTTGCCTTCTTTTTTAAATTTAAAATGATGTATTATGAACTTCACAAGTTCACATTTAAATACAGGGGAAAGATTATAATGCATCAGCTGATCTCTCTGAAAGATATCATGGTTCCTTTATATATTAATACATCTATCACTTAGATCATGTAAACACTGGATATAATTTTTTTTCCTCACTACTGTATTTTCTTAATATCTAAACTGCATTTTTACTAGAGAATCATAGTTAATCTTCCATCTATACAGCTTGGTAAATTTAGTGGACGTTTACTTTTCAAGATACACTGAACGCTCTTGTAAGAATGGGTGAGCACATGTAAGACATTATTTGGTGTGTCTACTTTCTGCTCTTTTAATTTCTGCTGATTTTCTGCTTAACCTGGGGAACCCCTTAGCAACATCATGGTGACTGAGTTAAAAGTGAAAACAATATTTAAATCAGATAGTCAAAAAATACCATTAATTCTAATTTGTAGAGCCAAATACTTTAAAAGTTTTATTTCTTGTATTTTTTTTTACCCCAGGCCAGTTTCCCAATAGCATACTAAATATCTAGCAAGTTAGGTAAATTAATAAAAACAAATTTTATTTAAAAAAAATTCTGCACTTGCACATCTACCTAAAAAAGCAGAAAGCTCGCATATATACGCACAAAAACCCCAGTAGCATGGAGTTCTCATTTACAACTTGACTTCATAGTATCTTCTGACACTCAAAAGATCACAACAAATCTGAGGATAAACTGAAGAATGCACTACACACACTTTAAAAAAAAAAAAAAAGGAAGAAAGGAAGTAGAAAAGGATTAGAAGTATAATTAACCCACAAAAGAACAGTGGTTAATACCAGTGTTTCAGTTCAGCTTTGAACTTTCCACACTTGCACACCCTTTCTCTCCTGAGTCCACTAGCAGGACAACAAGGCTGTAGCTTTCCTGGTTTTCCAAACTGACAATGGTCAGCTGGACCAACTCAGTTAATTCAACAGCAATGCCCCAGAAAACAGAGCTTCATGATATATAACAAGGCAACTGGACTACAGAATCACAAAGAAAACTCCTCTAAGAACCACAGTTTGACACCTAACTTATTTTATTAATTCAATTTAAAATTTTTGGGAGATTCAATGTTTGTGATTAACAAGCAGTTACCTGTTTGCTTGGAGGGAAGTCATACACAGCCTAAATGTCAACACACATGAATCAAAACTGCATCCAACAAGAAACTTTTTATAAACCACTGTTCTTTGGTAGAAATGTAAACCAGTTTCACAGAGCAGCACTGAATCTCAGAAAAAGGGACATTATTAAACACAAGAGCCAGACTAGAGTCTCATGATGTAAAGTCTGTTACAAGTAGATGGATGGAAATTGGCTAGCTCATACAGCATGTTCTTACACCAAACAGAAAAGCATTTTAATAGTCTCTGTGAAGATGGTGGTATCAACCCTTAACCATGTTAGCAATGAGCGGGAACTACCTGGGTCAAAAGTTTAAGAACTGTAACTACAAGGCTCTGAAAGATCAGTAGCCAAGTAATTTCATCTTACTGTCACTGAAATGGAGACACAGGAGTTCAGAGACATCTGTTGCTGAAAGCAGTCTTAGCTATCAACAAAAACAAGTAGTGTTCAGGATACGGTCCGTGATGAAATACCTGCCCTTGCCACATTTCAGACTTTGTTCCATGATATGTGCAATCCTACCCTGGTACATCTAATCCCAAGAGAACACTCATAACTTACTATTATGAGCCAAGAAACACCTAATGACACGTTACACAGAAATGAGGGGAGAAAGAAGAATTGGCTAGAATAGCAATCTTGACCTCCTTTAGTTTTAGGCCGAGGAGTCAGTCAGCTATAGAAATAAGAACATTTGTGTACATCCATTAATTGAGGTTCACAGAACCCCTGGTGGCTGAAGTTCATTTTGAAAGCTCTAGACATTCAAAAAATAAGTGATCTACTGACCACCATGGGAGTACTAAAATCCACAGGAGCTCGTTACCATGCCACATCCGTAACTTCTACAGAACAGAAAAAAAAAAAAAAATCTAAGGAACAAGGTTTAGTTAATCATCAATCTTTCTTTCTAACCACTGTAAGTTCAAAGGATTACATGTTGTGAAGCACCTTGGGAAGGAAACAAAGTGACAGAAAACAAAAGTATGCCAAGATCTCTATGCATGAAGTACATTAAAGGAAGAGATCACAGATTGGGAGTGGGTAGAATTATCTTACAAATGGGCCTTACCTAATGTATTAGTTCGGGGAATGGCACAAAAACATACACCTTTGTGTATATTTGCAGTTTAAGTTGTTACAGGTTAAAACAAACATTTATTTGCCTGTGATAAGGCTAAATCAGAACTTGTCATGAAGAAGGTCCAGCTACAGAAGGTATCCCTTATTTCAGCCTTGAAAGTATATGTCCCTTTTATCCTACAGTCATGAATGTAACAGCTCTTTTGAAGTGAAGCTAGAATACTGTATTTCGTTAGTGACATTCCATACACCATAATAAGCAAAATATAAATGGTAACAATAGTAACTTCTTGACTTTTGTAAATTTACTGTCTCTGGAAAGTAACAAGTGCGGAAGAAGTGAGCATTAATAAAATGCTACACTACTGTATGAGCAAAGCACTGTTAACTATAACCAGAAGAAAATGTTTAAAAGGGGACCAATAGCATGAATATGATGATAGAGAAAACTTAAATTATAACCTCAAAAGAAGTTCATAACTCAGAACTATCTGAAAATACAGATACTGCAAAAATGGATCATCCTATCATATGGAAGAAGGTAGGGTTTACTTC